AATCAGCGATTAACAAACATATTAATATAGACTAAATTTGCCAACTAATAAAAAGTAAATCACGTGATGAAAAAGTTCAAAATACAAGTCAATAAAAAATGATCAATACAGATGTAAATCGACTACCAGTCACGAAGATGGTTGCCAGGAGATACAATTCTATCATTCGTGGAGAATTTAAATCAGTTCATTTTATGCTAAAACTTGCTCTGAAGAGGATGTTGTCCAGAAGGACGACGAAAGTTTTGCAATTAAACTAACCAGCTCAGAGAACACAACTAATTCCAAAAATTGTCTTATATTCTTAACTATAAGTTTAAGTGACTTATTTGTTAATTTTATTTTAGTGAGTGCCCAATTGTAGGAGTAACTTTCGTTGGTCTATTCTGTGTATCCTATATATATATATATATATATATATATATATATATATATATATGATTTAAGTCTATGCTGTCTGAAGATGTATAAGGTGAACGAGCCTTCTTCTCACTGCCTGATGATTGCAGGGCATTTCTCACATCGACTTTCAATACATAAAATAACCTTCAAAAGAAACAAAGGAGAAAATTCCTATAATTGTCAAGAATATGGTGGAAATAATAAATATAATATTATGTTGAGACTGGCTAACTGTGTTCACGTTTATTCAGTAGGTTATGAAGGACATATATTTTTAAGGGTAAGGGGAAGGATCTTTAATCCTTGTTTATTTAGTTCGAAATCAGATATGTGAATTACCAACGCCGTAATCCTTCCTAATACAAAGAAATCTAATGTGCAAAAGTCTTAACAATCCATATGATTATTATAGTTTTCAGGATACGAATATCCCGGGTTGATTAGAGTTGTTTTCAGACGCATCAATTTTCAAATTGTGATTATGTATTCATATTACTGTTGTGCTTCATGCTTTCACTCACTTTCCTTCGCAGAAGTTTTAGCTACCAACATTGTGCGAAAGTGGGTTAACTTGGTATGAAAACGCATAATGAGATCATATTTCTCCGTCGTTGCAACTTGACTAATTACTGCTGGATAGACTTAACACGGTCATACAGACTCACTGAATCTTTTAATCTTTATGATGTATGTATGATGGCATCTGCCAAAGATGACTTAAGTTGACAGCTGCCAAAGGAGTCTTTTATGGCTGCGCTACGATTTCGTCTACTATTAGTCGTTCATCAGCGCTGACACAACTTCTCAAGTCAAGTACGTGAGTTGGTCAACACACTCAGTCATTTCACTCTTTATTCTCTAATCAGGAGTGTGCAGACCAGTTTTTCATCAGTAACATCTTGCGTTGAACAAGGCGAACATACCCAGATTTGCGCTCAAGGTGTTCGGAAGAACTGCATTGTATCAGTCTTCACATAGAAAAAACTACGCAGTTCTCGTTCCCTAAATCACTAGAACATTTCTCTTATAACACGACACTGAAGTTGCTGTCTGTTTTCGACATAGAACTTTGCCCGATGTGCGGCAGTTGAGTCGCCACATCCTGTAGACACAAAGCAAGAGAGAAAGTTGACCGAGGTTATATCCACCACGATAGTGAAGTGAAATAAGAATAATCATTGTGGAGTACCTTGGCAACTACTATTGATGCACTACAAATGAGAACTCTCCAAAAGTTTCATATAACTATAAGAGCTCAAGTAGTGTGCTTTGATCAGCATAATATACTTTCTCAGTACTCCCGTCATGTAAGGTAAGGAGGGGAAATCAATCGACGAGGCTGTGAAATTACATCGACTGAGATGGTTAGGACATGTGTTACGTATGCCTAGTCATCGCCTTCCTCGACGGGCAATGTTAGCTGACATAGGGTCAGGCTGGAAAAGAGCTAGTGGCGGTCAAACTAAAACATGGCACCAGTCAATGAAATCCACAACAGTTAGTCTAAGCCACGTAGGAAGGTGTAGACTTCCTGGTTGGGTTCCTCTGGACGGTGAAAACCAATGGTTGGAAACAATTGGTGACATGGCTCAAAATCGTTCTCAATGATGCAGATGCATCCACTCCTTGTGACTTATGATTTCCAATGAAACTGTTTTGTTCTTCGTTATTACTATTCCTTTGTCTCACAACTCTGTTTACTGTCATTATTATGCATTTCTTCTGTTGCTTTGTGTGCTACATGGAGTGTGGCGACTTGAACTGCCGCACATATGTGCAAAGTTCTATGTCGAATACAGACAGACAGACTCCTGTCATGTGAAGAGAAAGCTACTGCACTTCTCGATCAGGCGTCTAGTGCCACCCTCACGTCAGAAAAATATCTGCCAAGTCTTGGTATGTCTGTGTTCAAAATTGTGTCGAAGCGTGAAGAAGTAACCAATGCATGCCTGTCAGTGTATGAAACCTTTTTGGTTTTCTCTAGTTCATTTCTACCAAACCCCGCTGAGTATTCGTAGATATCAGTATTCATACTGTCATATTAGAGAATACATTGACACCTAGTTCACTAACTTGCATATTATTCTTGTTCAATTGCATATAATTATTTTGTTTTTTTTCTAAATTTTCAGACAAAATAATTCAATTTTATGCGAATAAAAGGTGAAATATCAACGCCACTTCATCCCGTCACTCTTAATATGCGTATATTCATTTCAGACCCGCTGTTGTTGTTTTTTTAAAATTTTGTCTACCCATATTCTAGGATGATTCATTCTTTTCATGTTAAGATCCAGGTGCTACTTTTAACAATTATCTGTTAATTTGTGTATGATTCTTTCATTTGACGACAGACAGACAACTAAATGCATATACACTGACATTATAAACGGATGAAACACTTCTTTTCGTCCTTTATTGTAACACTGACAAAACTTTGAAATTTTGTGCTACATTCAGACAATTTACATCTCTTCCTTTCATTTTTTTGATAAACACTCATTGCGAATCTTTGTGTTGTGTGTATTTCTTTTCTTTTGACGTATTTTCTTATCTTATATGCTGAATACATACAAAATTGTAAATTTTTGCTTGTTTACCAGAGACCTCTTTCTTCATGAGTTCAGTTTGTTTTGTTCATCTCATGACTATAGACAGAATTTTCTCTTTTTTTTGCTGTTAAACACACCATGTATAAATCAGAATGTCGGTAGCCTAATATGACTCAAGATGATATCTACAGAATATAAGAGGATACTTATGAAAACACTTGAAGCTTAATATTAATAATTATTAATATTATTCCCTATTTCTTTTCTACTTCACTTCCTTGTTTCAGAACTTGTCACTCTGATTAACCATAAATCATGATTTTGATTACTGCAAAAATAAAACCAAACAAGAGTCACAATTTTAGTACAAACTATTCCGAATTTTATAATGCAGTTTACTTGTTGTTGTCGTCCTTACCATTAAAAAAATATTCCTAATGCTACAACAAGCATGCATGGTAGTCGTTTCTACACTTACTGCTGCTGCTGGATTCAACATAGAACTTGGCACCGAAGTGCAGCAGTTCGAGTTGCCACGTTCCAAATAGCACACAAAGGTAGACAGGAAAATGAGAGAAGAGAATCAATAGAATTTAGATAAGTATAAGAGTGAAACAGAATGAGTAATGGTAGAAAGGAATATGAAGGTTAAAGAGACTGAATACATCTGCGTAAGCCATTGACAACGATTTTGAGCCATGTCACCTATTGTCTCCAGCCATTTACGGCAGACCACTCATACATGAAATAGCTTATTCTCTGTCACACTTACGAATAATATTCACATCAACACGTCAAGGTAGAAAATCAGGTGAGAGTTAATAAATTCAGGATATTATACTTTTCCAGGAGCACAAAAAGAGAAAAGTGACCAAAAATGGATATAACAATGAAAACAAAATAAGATTTTGAGCAAGACTAGAGACACCGTGGCATAATCGAGTAGCATTACTTTATCCCGCTTACATATCCAATTCTGATTAGGTCAGCCGAGTAGTAACGACCATAGACACTGAATTCGAGGTTGAGAAAATTTAAGAATAAGCGCAACTAAGACTGATATACAGCAGGACATAAGTGATGACGAAAGCTGTACTTAGCGTATCTTCTGCTTTTTATATTCAAATAGCAACTGCTTTCATTCTAAGTGTTTGCTGCAACGTCACCATGTGGTTTGTGTCAGATATTACTAGTATCTGTCACGTTTTATACACACAGTTCTTAACCAACAATTTTTGTTGTACCGATAAACATGTGTTCGCCAACTAGATTTTAAACATCTCTCGTTCAACTTTACGATAAACCACCAGTTTCATGGTAGGTACCAGCCTTGTGGTATTGTATTAAGCGGTTAATACGAAACCAAACGCCAGGAATCACTAATTTATGCATTCGGATGTTATGCCCGTTTCGTTTAACTCACAGAATGGGGAGTATATAGGCTAAGCAAGTCTGCTTCACGTAGTTACTAAGACAGGAAACAAAACACGTGCACTGATAGGTTGCTGGGTGTTTAGCCAATGTTGCTTTCCACCTCCAAGTGTGTTGGAAAACGCAAATGCAGATTTTAATCTATTTGTAAGGACTGGCTGTTCAATGGTATTTTGAACTACGCATCGCTGAAAGTTTGTTTAAATAATCTAGGTCAAAGATTTCTGCATATAAATGACGTCAAACCGAATTAAAACGGTAGACAGTAAGTATTCGTGAGCACTGGATCTGTATCCTGATGTCACCTTCCTAAAAGCTTGTATACGCAGCAGTTTTTCGTGAGCAGCCACCACTCAAAGGCACTAACAAGCAGTGCTATCGGCAGACCAACTAGTGTTACACCAGTTCACTCTCATTGGCCATGTAATCAGTACGTCACAATACAGCATCAATCACAACATTTAGCCGAATTCCTTAAACTCTTATGTTTCATACTAAAACTGAATGAATAGGGATACTTTTGTCGAAACCAAGCGTGTTAACGGCGCACAATTTTAACAAGAGTGTAAATCAAACAAAAAAGCACCTTGGTTTTGATGTACGGTACCAACATATCTCGACAACTTGTATGATATGGCCTAAATAAATAGCATATGTGGGAATTGAAGATGTGCCTCAAAGTTTGTACAGTTTTATATAAGAAAAGATACAAGTAATCACAATACACTTAACTCTATTTGCTAAGTCATGGTCAGATTAGATCAAAAAAACAATACTTTCGCAAATAACATTATTAATAGAATCACAGCTTTTAGCTGATGTCTGAAAATTATAAGCATGTTGAAGAGAATCAAGAAAAATTACATTAGATGAGCAGTGAGTACGGAAAGACTCGTATACAGACAAAATGTTCGCACATGGATAGAGATATGCATATTGCAATGGTTGAAATGAAATCATCTAATTATGTAAAATATTGAACAGACTGGCAAAAAATTAGATTATGAGGCTACAAAAATGAACTAATTACTGTTGAAAACATAATAATAATAAGTATATATCACAGACTTTCAGATTGCGACTCACTATCAATTAAACATAAAGAAGATGGAGCATAATCAATGTGCATTATGTGTGAAACTGTGTTAGGAGTAAGGGATTGAGATGAGGAATTGAATGCTGGAGGTGCAGATGATGATTCTAAACTAAGTGATGATGTCATGGAGTCTGTTAAGCTGGAAACAACGTAAGATGCGAAGAAGTCCTTCAGCCCCTGACCAAGAGCGGAAGAATCACATATGGCATTTCGGCGTCGTCTGAAACGGTTACGAAGTACAGCCGGAAGATTCGGAACAGGGTCACACTTTCTAGATCCACCTACAGAACTCGCCGGAACTTCCGCAACGACACCAAGTGTTACGGGAGCTGGTGGTGGACTCGGGACAGGTGACGTAGGTGGGCCAGGGGGCATTGAAGGGCGGACAAACCCAGAAGGTATCCCATAGCAAGAACCTGAACTGCTGTTTCCAAGTGAAGGGGTGTTCGATGATAGTCGTTCAGGAGATGCATTCAGAGAATCTGTTACCATACAGTCAACTCCGGTTGACTCTTCAATGCATGGTGATAACCTCGACGTATGCGAGCTCCAATTTCGTCTCCTGCGTCTTACTCGATAAGTACTTGACCCACATCTTTTATCAGTTCGAGTCAAAGGGTCAGTACCTACAAAAAGGAATTAAACATTATTTAATTTATATTAATTTGCCGTTAGCGTTGATTGGGTAAGTTGTATTTACACTCCAAAACGTACTTCGTATAGACAATTAGATTATACCAAAAATGTACATAGGATTATTATCAATATTGCGTATTTATTCCGAGGGAAATAAAGACTCTTGGTATAACATGCAAAAGTGTTTCAGTAAGACTGAACACAGTGTATTGTTTGACAAACGACTTTCATCACCTAAAGTGAACCGTTTGCTGATGTATGCAAATGAACTAGTAACTATGGTAAACAATACAGACAGAAAATTTTTGATAGATATTACTAAATTTCAGAAAACTCAATTATAGGACAGCGAACGTTAAGAACAAGCCGATTACATGCACACACCGCTAGCGACTGTTTTTAAATCTTCCTTGCACCCCTAAAATCTCACTCTAAATTCATGTAATAGGAAAGTCTTTATATTATTGCTTCGAATGGCTCCTTAACTTCAGATGTCATCACAATATGTGAAAATTAAATTAATGTTAACAGTTGCATGACTTCAGGCGTTTATTGTCTTGACAATATCCACTCAATTTGCCTCAATACACTAATATTGCTAACTTCCATTCACATTTTTTTAAAGGTTTTAGTCAGAAATGTAATTTAATCCAGTTTATTGACGCAGTTCGCTGAGAAGTACAATGGAAAGATATGAACCATTCTATAAACTGCTAACTATCCCTAAACATTCAGATGTCACCCAGACATTCAAAAAGTTTATTCAACATCATTTGTCACTGAAGTGCTGGACTAATTTAAACATCAATTTTGACAAAACAACAGTGGTAGAGATAAGAGAAGCACTCAGATGAAATGCTTATAAAAATGAAATATCTTATCCTCATAATGATACTGCACTTGTACAATTGAGCTTATCTCAGTTATATTCCATTTTACTAGTGTCGAATCCGATCTAACTCCTCTGGAATATGATATGCTATTTCTTTTAAATTAATACTAAGGGCGAGATGATCCACATATGTTCAAGTAATTTGACAGCAACAGCCAGTGACTTACATCATCTCTACAAAAACACTCAGTGATAGTGACGATGAGACTCCTGAATGTATTTCAGATTAATATAACTATACCATTTGGGTACGCATATACAGCTGACTGAATAGTCGACAGAATCAGCGTAACAGGCTTTATTTGCAGACTATATTTTACAGTAGATAGACTGCCGAAAGCCAATAAGTAATTAGAATTAGATGTACTATAGATGAGCTTTACAATACAACACTGACAGGTTCATTTCTGAGATTTACAAATCCTTACTGAATTTTTTTCTAGAACACTAAAACATAACAGTTTCAACCAAGTTAACAACCTTAGGTTGTTAAGTTATTAAACTCACTTGCACTTTAAACAATTAAACGATCTTTTAGTACTATTTTCTGGAGCAACAATAATAAATACATAGCACAAATTTGTGCAAACCAACCTATATGTAGCAAATAGTTCTTATGAGAAGGCAGTTTTAAACAGGCGTCTGCAGCAATGATTAAGAAAAGCTATCTGACCTACTATTTGTGGCAAATACTTAAATGGAGTATACTACTTTCCTCTGTAGAGGAAAATAATAAATTAGGGGGGAACGGGAAATGGTGAGATTGAATTTCCAAAAACTGAAGCTTAGACAGCAGAATTCCAAAAGATGGAAACATATACAGTTGTTTTTGATTATTAACTAGGAAAATAAAGTTTTGTGTGAATCACAATACAAATACAGAATCCTTACAATAAGTTTCTGCTTACTCCTTCAGCTAATTCCTAATCCAGATTATACGAAAAATGACAAAATAGGATTCAACTTGACAATTTACCTTTTGGAGTTTCTAGAAAGCCAACTTTCATAGCTAAAACAAGAACATTTTAAGGGTAAACACTTGATATATGATCGACCCTTGTAGCGGCGGGAACAAAATCCCGCTTTGCAGCTGCTTCCTAAATTGTCAATACCTGGGATGTTTTCAAATATAAGCTGCAAGCCAAATTCGTCTGCCTAAGACCTCATTAACTGATACATTGCGGTGCATTGATTTTCATTAAGTAGTCGGATCTGAAAAATTAATTCTCTTTTCATGCGCATGACCAATGAATAAAGATATCTTAAAGATTTTAATTGTTTCAGAACTACTTACAGCACCTTATCAGTCTTATTCGCACCTTTAAGTCAGAGGCTTATATTCTTAACAGAAAGTGGCAGCATAATTTAATGCCATCAAGATCCAGTATTTGGCAATCTTAGGCCTGAAAACAGAATGTAACCAGCTGTTTACAAAGTTATAAATTAATGAACAAAACTGGAGGCAGTTTTTCAGAGGCTTATTATCTGCCTGATAATATATGGTCCCAGTAAAATGAGTAGGTGTTATAGGTCTACAATTTGGGTGGAGTGGCCGATACATCTTGTCAGTCTCAAGCCTGCATTTCCCGGGACACATCTGGGATGCTCAACGAAGAAGGTTGCCTACATTGGGTTTTCCATAGATATCATGTATTCATCGTCTTCGAGAAGTCTCGGAACTATACCTGACCTTCCTCTGACATCAGTGTCGACTGAAATTTTTGAAGCCTTATTAGCGGAATGGTTGAGTGGTTATTTCAGAAGCTTCATAGATTATATCACCATCCTTCAAGCACACCAGACGAATCGCTCCTGTAACTTGTTTTGGAATCTTTGCCTATATAAACATTTTAATTTGTGTCAGATGTGAGCACTAAAGCACCAGTTCGAAGCCGTAGAAGTTCCCCAACTTAACTCTTGGCGGTATTCGGTCCCTGTAGCAAAAGATGCGCCACTGAATTTAGCTACACAGTCCAGTTCGTCTCGAAGCCTTTGAGGCCCTTTGTATTTATAACTTGCTGTTGACGTTTGCATTCCTGCAGTCCTTACTAAGTGGCATACATTCCTACTGCATCCACAACATATCCTCTCATTAAACGCCTGGCCATGCTTCCTTATACCAATTCAGTAGACTATGACCTGTAGAGAAACATTATGCAGGAAACTCAAGGCTACGATCCACTGTATCACAATCGTCTGGCAATCCTACTTCAGCTAAACTGTACGTATGGGGAACTACAACCAGCGCCTAATTTCCCCTAACGAATGTTCTTCATTCGGACTGTTTCGGTACCTAAATACATAGTCCCATGTATCTTCTCAAGATTGTTATATATTTCTTTGCTGCCAGAGGGATGGAGAGCTATGACCTTCACTACTGACGCACAATGTTGCTTCGTCCCTAATATTGTCCAACTCAAGTATGTCTCTTTCCAAACCGTCACTCCAATGGTATTATGTGTATCGGGGTATCACACATAAACAGTAGTCCGACTGCATCGTCTTTAATACATGGTAACTCAGCATATCTGAAGGGTTTACAGACCCATAGCTCTACTTCATTAGGAGGTTGACGAGAGACATTAGTTACTCTGGTGTTGCAAATGACTTGCTTACATTGATCGGTTCCCTTGCAGCTAAAGAAGATGGTTCAACGGAAAAGAATACATAGTTGCGCTGAGAATATCCATATGCCATTACCATGTCTACATTGCTTTCAGTAATACCCCACCGCTTAACAATTTCCTGTGAAATAGTAAACACGTCCGATCCACTATCTAGAAAAGCCTGTGTACCTAAATATACTCTGGACCGAACGAATTCACCAGAAAAATACCGATTAGAACTGTCCTAAGTTTGTCATTGTACCCAAGAAGTGTTATTGAGCCTGACGAAGTAATCCTGCTGCCTGCATGATGGTGCGCCATGCTCCCATCAACATTACGCTTATCTCTTAAGGTACAGGGTTTACAAGTGTTGGTTTGTAGGGATTTGATTGGTTACAGGATTTCATCATGAGCTGACATCAGTTAGAGAACCATTGGAGAACCTGGGAGTACTGGACAGCTGTTTCGTCCTAGTTTGGGACTCTTCAGCAGTACGCACCCACCGGGGTTCGAACCCAGGACCTTCTGGTTACAAGGCGAGCTCGTATACCATTAAGCCACTGGGACCCGATCCAATGGTCCATGAATTCTAGTGAGAAGTCGTGACCAGTAGGGTGCAGCAGGTCGGGCGTGAGGACAAATACTCGCCGAAGACATTGGCTAGGGGTCGCGCTATGTCGTGAATTGGCAGAAGTTAGAATTCATGGACCATTGGATCGGGTCCCAGTGGCTTAATGGTATACGAGCTCGCCTTGTAACCAGAAGGTCCTGGGTTCGAATCCCGGTGGGTGCGTACTGCTGAAGAGTCCCAAACTAGGACGAAACAGCTGTCCAGTACTCCCAGGTTCTCCAATGGTTCTCTAACTGATGTCAGCTCATGATGAAATCCTGTACAGGGTTTAGTAAAATGTCCCAGTTTCAGCCAAAAGCAACAAGGAATAAGTTTCCTTACGGTTTGTCACCACTTGTCAGCATTTATATCATTTATTATCGAAGAGTAAGTTAGGATACGCCAGCCCTGTCGTTAACCACAATTTTCAGGGCTATTCTCGCTTGCAATTAGACTGTTTTGGAAAGGAAAGTTCCACTACATTACTATATGGTACAAAAGACAATCTCTCTGCAGACCTTTTTTTCTTATTTCCAAGTTTCGATTTTCAAACATGCCACCGAGCGTTCAAGAAAATCCTCCGCTTTCTTCTAAAAGACAAACCAAATCTCCAAATGCAGGTTTTGTACTAACAGTTGAAAGTCTGGCAGTGATGTCAGCCACCTAGTTTGCATAAGGGGTACATGAGTCATGTGAATGAACATCGAAACTATCATCACTGAGGTAAGTATTAATGCCATGTGCCAAAATGTGGTTTAAGCAAATTTTTTAACTGTCCTAGCCTCTAGTTGTATGTCTTTTTAAGGTTCTTTTAGATGTAAATTCTTGAAACGCAGTTTCGAACCAGGCTTCACAGGAGAAGTCAAGGGCATAAAACCTTCCAGGGAAAAGATCAAGCCCGGCCACTAATGAAATAAATTTCACCGAATATATGGACTTGCGGAACTCAACGAAACGTCCTAACTGAAGCACCGAATCCCCCCAAAAAGAAGTATATAAGAAGCCAAAAGGCTGGAAACAATACAGAACTTTTCTTCCTTTCCGCAGTCACCTAAAGTCAATATATAATATATGTACAACCGTTTCTGAATATATAGATTCACCTAAACAGTACGGAACAGCCAGAGATAAACAATGAAATTTTCTGATTTGAGTAATATAGGTGACTGAATATCTCTAACGTGGAGACTGCTGGGAATTCTGCAAAGCGTTAATACCAGCACTGTCTACACTGCTTACAACTGATGAGAAGTATTATGTGAACCCTTAATACAAATTTCGGCTGAACATTCGATTAAATGACAAGTATATTGGAAAGAGGAAGATAACCAAATAAATCATTCATGAAGTTGTCTTTTAATTGAATAAGTCACAAGATAATAGGCTAAATCATAGTATTAAACTATTATATGCGTATTGCACGTCAATTTCAAGCGGGATTTACAATGTTTTGTGTTACTAGAGGAAAAGTGGTGGTTTAATAAACTTGCGCTAATGCGAAATATGAAGGCTCCAGAATTTGCATTCATTATCAGCTTAAGAGGTTTGCAGGGTTTGAAATTTCATAGATTTCCACAGTCACTGGTAAGGACAGCACTGTTGTGACTTTGGAAGATAAAAAGGCCTAGCCAAGAAATGATTATCAGATTTTGCGGTGGAGGTTGTTACAATCTTCATCAGATGTGCTACCATTAGTCTGAATATCTGCAAAGTATTTGTTCTATTGATTTCAACACTCCAAGTAATACCAACGTAGAAGATAGCGTCTCAGCATTAATGCCCTGGTCTAAAGCAGTGCCTGTGATAAGAGAAGAAGACAGAAGGAAACTGCGGGAGAAGCACACTGCGTACAAATGCAAGTGTTTACCATGCCGTCCCCAAACTACTTGTCTGTTGGGATTAGAGGCGAATCGCAACAGCGAACTGGTCGTTCAAAATAAGTGATATATTTTGGGGTGATAACTGTAAAACGATGATTGGTTAACCAGCTAGAACTTAAGCGCAAATGAACTAACAGAACACGAGGGCACGCCGACTGGCGTGAACGCTGGGCCGCGTGCTTTTATCTTAACAAACTGACTTAAACAGTGAGAGCCATCATTCAATGTTGAGTGAAAAATGCTGTGAACTAATAATTTTAGGAAATTATTTGCTGCTACACCTCGCTGCATTAAAATGGATAGCTCCTGAGAGCTGAGAATATGCACACATCAGACTTTTTAACCTGAAATAGCGATAATCCTTGTGAACTGGCGTTCCTAGGAGACAGCTGATTGCGGTTAAATTAAAATAACTAATATAATGACATCAATGCCAACCTTTTATACGGGCTACAATCAGTGTGCTACATTGTATACAGGAAGTATAGCACAAAACTGCTTCCTCACCAACACCCACAAACAAGTACCATCTTCAGCATTGTACATTGTTGTTCAAATATATAAGACTCTTCTACATGGGTGTTGCTCTTCATTTAAGGTTTTACAAGTCAATCTTTTTATTTTTACTGTCCATTTTTAATTCCTCCCTCTATCTTAATCACTTAGTTGTAATTGTATCTGCCAAAGTACGTCACGCTGTTTCACCTGGATTCAACTTGTCACTAAGTTTATTTTATATAACACAGTTGAACAGAATTGACACGATTAATAGCCATTTGACTGTGTTCGAAAAGTCATCATTTTAAATGCTTAGTTCATATAATTCTGGCTCTAGTTTGCTTGTCTTTAAACAACTTCTCAGTCCTGGAGAGTGCTAAGCTATGTTCCTTTCAGCGATGCAAAACGAGGAGAAAACTAGAACTTAGGGATGTGATTTCGCAAAAAAAAAGTTTGTAAGGTACTTGTGCTACGAGAAGCGCTGTGCTTAATTACCCAATCAGTTAGTACTATGACCGACTTGTAGGTACGGATAGCAAAATGCAAACCAAAGAGTCAGTTAATTACCATTATGCTCTGATGGGCAGCATATTTGAGTCTAAAAAAGTTA